TTTTAATGTTACTATTGTTTGCTGTGGATAACGGGTGCATTTTAATATTAGTGGTTCGTTCCAAACAATGTAATTGCTCCAGATTCAATATGGATACAGTAATAAAATGAAAGGAAATAATTTGTCCTGCTTCTACACTCACTGTAACGCCAAAGCCCATCTATCTAATAAAGTTAATGTACTGCATTAGATGCCCTGGTTAAAACAGTGGCTTGCGTCACAGTGTGGAAAAAAATAAGTCGGCCGCTGTTTTAATCCCGTCATTTATGCAGCACATGGCAGTAACGATGTGCTGTTTGGTGGGTGAAAAGAGCATTGAGCTGCCAACTTTACTAACCCTGCAGAAATCAATATGAACATCTGAGAACGTGGCTGAAGGTCAGCTGAATTGTCAGCTTTAAGTAAGCACTGAAAGACCATTATGAAGCGCCTGAATCAGAGACACACTGCTTATTATTTACTCAAACTAGCTCATGTTACCAAAGACGAATGTAATGAATATTAAAACTCGACTTTTATAAAAAAATAGGAAATGCAAGTTTCTCTGGAAACCACACAGGTTTACCACCCAGACCAATCAAAGCTGATATTGTTTCATTTTATTTGTGGCTTTGGAGATCAACACCCTCCACTCTGCCATGGTATCTTTCAAAACTCAACAGGCGCATGTCTCGACCAATATACATCCATACACACTGCTAAAGAGCTGAAACAAGTCAAGTAGAGGTTGCTAAGCAGTGACTGGAGGTTACTGGTGCAGTATACAGTATATACTGATGCAGTATGCAGTACACAGTATATAATTGTGCAGTATATAATGGTGTAGTATGCAGTATATACTGATGCAGTATGCAGTACACAGTATATAATTGTGCAGTATATAATGGTGTAGTATGCAGTATATACTGATGCAGTATGCAGTACACAGTATATAATGGTGCAGTATGCAGTATATAATGGTGCAGTATGCAGTATATACTGCTGCAGTATGCGGTACACAGTATATAATTGTGCAGTATATAATGGTGCAGTATGCAGTATATACTGATGCAGTATGCAGTACACAGTATATAATTGTGCAGTATATAATGGTGTAGTATGCAGTATACAATGGTGCAGTATGCAGTACACAGTATATAATGGTGCAGTATGCAGTACACAGTATATAATGGTGCAGTATGCAGTACACAGTATATAATGGTGCAGTATGCAGTATACAATATATAATGGTGCAGTATACAGTATATAATGGTGCAGTATGCAGTATACAATATATAATGGTGCAGTTTGCAGTACACAGTATATAATGGTGCAGTATATAATGGTGCAGTATGCAGTATATAATGGTGCAGTTTGCAGTATACAGTATATAATGGTGCAGTATGCAGTATACAATATATAATGGTGCAGTTTGCAGTACACAGTATATAATGGTGCAGTATATAATGGTGCAGTATGCAGTATATAATGGTGCAGTTTGCAGTACACAGTATATAATGGTGCAGTATGCAGTATATAATGGTGCAGTTTGCAGTATACAGTATATAATGGTGCAGTATGCAGTACACAATATATAATGGTGCAGTATGCAGTATACAATATATAATGGTGCAGTATGCAGTATACAATATATAATGGTGCAGTTTGCAGTACACAGTATATAATGGTGCAGTATATAATGGTGCAGTATGCAGTATATAATGGTGCAGTTTGCAGTATACAGTATATAATGGTGCAGTATGCAGTATATAATTGTGCAGTATGTAGTATACAATATATAATGGTGCAGTTTGCAGTACACAGTATATAATGGTGCAGTATGCAGTATACAGTATATAATGGTGCAGTATGCAGTATACAGTATATAATGGTGCAGTATGCAGTATATAATGGTGCAGTATGTAGTATACAATATATAATGGTGCAGTTTGCAGTACACAGTATATAATGGTGCAGTATATAATGGTGCAGTTTGCAGTATACAATATATAATGGTGCAGTATGCAGTATACAATATATAATGGTGCAGTATACAGTATATAATGGTGCAGTATGCAGTACACAGTATATACTGATGCAATTTGCAGTACACAGTATATACTGGTGCAGTACTGAGTGTACAGTTTATGCTGATGCAGTATGCAGTACACAGTATATACTGGTGCAGTTTTTGATTGATTTATGAATACAGCTTTTGGAAGTAAATCAGCATTCCACATATATTAGATAAGTAAAAATATTAAATATTAAATGTATTCAACTTTGTGTAACTATATTCATACACCTTATAAATACGCCTGACCAAAGTCTGACAGAATTCAGAATGTGAGTCTACTGTAAGAAAACGTAGCACTGAAAAAACCTGCATTCTAGTATTTAACCTGCTGCGCTAAAACATTTTCTGTATTGATTTCTCCTTTTAGGACCGAGTTGGCTACAGCTATTTCCTAACGATGTGCTGTTTGGTGGGTGAAAAGAGCACTGAGCAGCCAGATCTGCTAACCCTGAAGAAATCAATAGGAAGATCTGAGAACATGGCTGAAGACCAAACTGGCAGCTTTTAGTCAGCGCTGAAATCAGAGGCAGAGGCAAAAATATTTTAGCATACTTTTTTTGTATGCTTTATTGAATGTTATTAAAATTGAATATTTCTACAGGTGTAAATTGATTATTGTATTGATCACTGAGGGAACCCATCTGGAATGAGATTGACGGGGTGTTTGTGGTAACTTAACGTCAACAGGGTTATTAGGATATCACATATTAGGATGTCACTGTGGAGCAGTGTAACAATTATGTTTAGTATTTTTTTTTTCGTAACCAACATTGTTGCACGTTTATTACATGTGACAATGGCAGGGTTGTCCAATACATTCCAAATATCTTCCTGTACCTGTTGTGTAAATGCCAGTATGCAACCTGTTTCTCCTAGCAGTCTTTGTTTGGTGGGTGTGGGGCCCGTCAGCGCTCGTCTAACCGAGCTAGCAGTTAAAAAACACTCTGCACATGTTCAACATGCTTTCAAGAACCAGCAGTGGGGCTGATCACACTGGCCCCATGCATAGAGCAGCCAATAAAACATAATACATTTACATACATCCAGGCGTTTAGTAAATGTTTACTACACAGCTAGCCACTGTTCCTCATCAGTTGTGGTAGCCACTCATAATAGCAAGGCAATAAAATGAGTCGAAAATGTAATAACAGTTAAATTTAGTTCCAGCCATTAGAGCGGGAATTAGAGATTAAACGTTTGGGACACACCAGCCAGAGGATTTCAACATCATTCAGTCTGGAAAGGACAAAAACTGCTCCATCAGTCCAGAGAGGTTCAAGAGAAAAACATGGCTAACTGTGAGTGTAGCTAAAACACTCTTCTGCTCTCCTCACCTGCCTTTGCTCTGTTATCACTTGAATTCATTCACTGGTTGTTGGACTTTGAGAGGAAAGTTTTTGACAAGTTTGCCCAGATCAAAGATCGTCATGCATCTTTTCTTTTCAGCAGTGAACATCACTGACGAGTCATTCTGCATTATAACAAGGCGAGTTATTCCTAAAGCCCAGAAAGCATGTTTCTCTGCTCTGATATGTTGTTTTTACAGACGTGTATTTACAGACCACAGTGATCGTTACTGCTAGATAACTCTGGATTTGTAATGCGATGCTGTATAACCAGGTTTTGTGAGATCTAATGTTGTTATCATATCACTCATATTCTCCACTTCCACTCCTGCACCACGTTATGTTAATTTGTGAATTCTTGACTTCATTGATGGAGTGCGACTGCGTTTGTGTGTAGTTTCATTGAGGAGTCGCCCCACCACCTCTGTGCCAGAGACACCACTGAATGTGAAATATAGTTTTGCTGACATTTGACCATTGACATTATTTTTAGCTCTGTTATTTTAATGAAAGCAACAACTTACTTTATCAATACTTGTGTGTGCTGTTTAAATGACCTTAGATGCCAGAAATGTAGTAAAATCAATAGAAAAGTTGATGGGGAATAAAATTCTGCCACAGTAAAATTGTGCTGCAGTGAGAAGGAGCTTTGGGATGCAGGTCATTAATTCTGCTCTCCAGCTTTCTCTGATGAATCGTGCTTTAGTCTGCTGTGGAGGGACAAGCTCGGTCACGTTCGTGCCACTAGAGAGAGATTAGAGTAAAGGGTCGAGTGAACAGCACAGAAATAATAATATAGAATATATAATAAAGTCTGTTCACAGCGGCGCAAACTCCTTCACACGCTCTCAAACCACAGACAAGATGAGGACTGAGGAGAGGACTGAGGAGGAGCCAGAGCCAGAGAGGAACAGGTAAAGATATGTTCAGGTGCATCAGTTAGAGGGTCAATGTGTGTTCAGCTCAACTGGTGAACATACATGTAAAGATGTGTTCAGACATGTAAAGGTGTGTCAATCCAACTACAGGTAAAGGTGTGTTCAGAAGGATTGGTGAAAATCCAGGTAAAGTGCATCAGTCAAACTGCGATCAAAGGTGAGTTCAGGTGGATCAATCAAGCTGCAGGTAAAGGTGTAGGTCTGTGTGCAGGAAAGTGTGTTCAAAAACTGGTGAAAATCCAGGTATAAGTGTGATCAAATGGATTGCTTCAGGTAAAGATGTGCTCGGGTGGACTGGTGAAAGTGTATGTAAAGGTGTGTTCAGGTGCATCAGTCAGAAAGCAGGTAAAGGTGTGTTCACGTGCAACGGTTAGGGGGCAGGTAAAGGTTTATTCAGGTGCATCAATTAAAGGGCAGGTAAAGGTATTTTCAGGAGCATCAATTAAAGGGCAGGTAAAGGCGTGTTCAGGTGCAACAATCTGAGGGCAGGTAAAAGTGGCTTCAGGTGCATCAGTCAGAGGGCAGGTAAAGGTGAGCTCAGGTGGATCAATTAAAGGGCAGGTAATGGGGGGGGCAGAGGATGAGTTCAAGTGTTCAGGTGAATCAGTAAAATTGGAAGAAAAGTGTTCAGGTGAATCAGATCATGTTCAGGTGTGTTACCCTGAGCTCCTGGCCTCCCAGGCTGGTAGTCTGAGGTCTGTGTGTTGCTGTGCGTCTGTGTGTAGCCGGAGTGTCACGGCGTTTTGCTCCCCAAGAGGATGGAGGGATGATCCGGCCTGTCTGAGCTGAATACTGAGTCTTCCTACGAGGCGGTTCCTCCTCTCTGGAATTCTACAGAACACAAGGTAACATCACAGTCACTGGTCACTTCATTCGGTACAGCAACCTACTTTCACTACTGAGCAGAAGTACAAGGTGGGTGTTTCTAATAAAGCGGCCAGTGAGCAGAAGTACAAGGTAGGTGTTTCTAATAAAGCGGCCAGTGAGCAGAAGTACAAGGTAGGTGTTTCTAATAAAGCGGCCAGTCAGAAGAAGTACAAGGTGGGTGTTTCTAATAAAGTGGCCAGTGAGCGGAAGTATATGGTGAGTGTTTCTAATAAAGTGGCCAGTGAGCGGAAGTATATGGTGGGTGTTTCCAATAAAGTGGCCAGTGAGGGGAAGTATGTGGTGGGTGTTTCTAATAAAGTGGCCAGTGAGCGGAAGTATATGGTGGACGTTTCTAATAAAGTGGCCAGTGAGCAGAAGTACAAAGGGGGTGTTTCTAATAAAGCGGCCAGTCAGCAGAAGTACAAGGTGGGTGTTTCTAATAAAGTGGCCAGTGAGCAGAAGTACAAGGTGGGTGTTTCTAATAAAGTGGCCAGTGAGCAGAAGTACAAGGTGGGGGTTTCTAATAAAGTGGCCAGTGAGCGGAAGTATATGGTGGGTGTTTCTAATAAAGTGACCAATGAGCAGAAGTACAAAGTAGGTGTTTCTAATAAAGCGGCCAGTCAGAAGAAGTACAAGGTGGGTGTTTCTAATAAAGTGGCCAGTGAGCGGAAGTACAAGGTAGGTGTTTCTAATAAAGCGGCCAGTCAGAAGAAGTACAAGGTGGGTGTTTCTAATAAAGTGGCCAGTGCGCGGAACTACAAGGTAGGTGTTTCTAATAAAGCGGCCAGTGAGCGGAAGTTTAATGTGGGTGTTTCTAATAAAGTGGCCAGTTAGTGTCTAAAAACACGTCTGATGGCAGAATTTGCAGAGTTATTCTCAGTAAGAAAGCAGACGTGAACCTTCCAGGTTTTGTTATCCAATCACTCTCAGTTAAGCCCACCCTAAGCCCACATAAGTGTCTCATTATTCATCCTCTCAGCACTGTTACATCAACATTATTACTCATCACAAAGTGCTGATGTATCTGGCTGTGAACACAAGAACTGTGCTGTTTACTCTACCTCTCCTTCTTCTCTTCTGCTTGAACTTGGAGCTGAGAGGCTGACTTTGGTTGCCAGATCCTTCAGCTCCTCCTGCCATGCTTCTGATAGTAGAGCTGTGGGTGAGAAGAGGGACCAATTTGAGCTGTTTTGCAGTTTAGCTGACTTTATTTCCCCTCTGATTGGATACTAATGCTTTATGGGACATTAACTGAAGCTTCTGTGGAATGGTTTATGACAAAATTTTGGACTTTTACGATTAAAAAACAGTTTAAGTCTCTTTCTCTCATCTTTAAAGAGATTTGTAAAATACACAAACTGCTCTTTAGCTCTGTGACCGAATGCAGACTGAGATTATTCCATTAAGACAGGAAACACGTGGACATTGTATTTCAAGTACTGAAACTCAAAATGAGAACATTTTCATCAACACTTTTCGATTTCAGCTCATGCAGCGTTCTCATTCAGTACTCTCCAGCTGCAGCCCGGTAGGTCAACCCTCAGGCTGGTCAAGGCCTCAACTTGGTCGACTGTTAGCCAACTATCTACATGATTATCCTGCTGAAAAAAATCACCACTAAAAGTGTCTGTTGGTTCCTGGTGGTGTCCAATAGTCACTAGTGGTATTCTGTGTTTTTCTGATGTGTTAATATCACAATGTAAAGGATTCTAATGGTTTAATAGGTGTTCTGAGGTATTTGATGGTTTTCTAATGCCATCTAAATGTGTCCTACAGGAACTAGTGGTCTCAAATGGTATCCATTAAGCTAATTCCCATTAGAAAGCAAAACCATCAGGTTTTAATCCCAATGGTTCTAATGGTCTTTTTCAGCAGGTTAAAATGTCATCTCACATCAACATTAGGTAAAATGGTTACAGTTAGGATTTACTTTCTCCCTCTGTGTCAGCTACTGTAAACTCCTGAGTCATTCTATGGAAACGTCCATTTTTGTGTCCCTATTATTTACAGATATATTACACTTGAAAAACATGTCAGGGTTACAACTTATTTAGATTTTAAAATAAAGCAATAAGTTATTTTAACAGTTACACCTTCTTGAGCCTCAATTTAGCAATATGGTTTTTAAATCAATCATATAGAATTCCAAACACCACAGAAGAGCTCGTCCCCACAGTCATGTGTGAAGGCTGAGGCCATATTTTGAGGTAAAAATATGTTTTTCTGCAATTTTAACTGTAATAATCTATACATGACTATGAAATATATAAATTAAATGACAAAGAAAACAAAAGCCAAATAAATATTATAATATATATAATGAAAGTCCCCAGGAGTCGTGTCACTGGTGTTACTGCGCAACAAAAAATCTCTTATTTTGAAATAAAAGTCACACTGATGACATCACTTCACTTCCTTTTGCCTGTTTTCTGAGGATCTATGAAGAAAAGCACATGGTGAGTCCACTGTGTCTTTCAGTTATCAGAGATTTTCTCATTTAGCTCATGATTTCATATGAAGCTTTTAGCTGAAGTCACTGGTGTGACCGACTTTATTCTGAGGTAATTGTGAAAAAAATGGATTAAATTCCATATTTTGGTGGATATTCCATGATTGACAACATGTGGTTTGATGCTCTGTAGCAGCCATTCTGTAAAATGCATCGTTCATTAAAAATGTCTCTGGTGTTCCCTTTATTATGTGTAACACCAGTGAGGATCGGTAACACCAGTGACTCCTATGGAGAGATAGAAAACTGGACGTTTCTGTAGAATGACCCTCCTTCAAAATAAAAGTGTGAGCTTTAGCATTGAAGAACTCCTTACAATATTAACTACTGTAATTTTTCCAAAATAAAAGTGTTAGTTTTAGTGTTAGAGGTAAATTTGGCTCTGTGGGACAATCCTGTCTAAATTTATTTAATTTTCTATTAATATTAGCCCATTTCACAATGCACTGCACTACAATCCCCAGCATGCACCACAACGTAATGTTTACATAATTGTTTTTTGTACGGTACTTTTCTATGTGTAATATTTTCCATACCTTTTAAAATATATTTGGTTAATATGGCAATATATTCTGAAACACATTTTAATGTTTGGAATGCATATGAAATATACACAGATCAGGCATAACATTCTGACCACCTCCTTGTTTCTACGCTCATTGACCATTTTATCAGCTCCACTTACTATATAGGTGCACTTTGTAGTTCTACAGTTACAGACTGTAGTCCATCTGTTTCTCTGATACTTTGTTAGCCCCCTTTTACCCTGTTCTTCAGTGGTCAGGACCCCCATGGACCCTCACAGAGCAGGTACTGTTTGGGTGGTGGATCATTCTCAGCACTGCAGTAACACTGATGTGGTGGTGGTGTGTTAGTGTGTGTTGTGCTGGTCAGAGTGGATCAGACACAGCAGTGCTGCTGGAGTTTTTAAACACCTCAGTGTCACTGCTGGACTGAGAATAGTCCACCAACCAAAAATATCCAGCCAACAGCGTCCTGTGGGCAGCGTCCTGTGACCACTGATGAAGGACTAGAGGATGACCAACACAAACTGTGCAGCAGCAGATGAGCTATCGTCTCTGACTTTACATCTACAAGGTGGACTGACAAGGAAGGAGTGTCTAATAGAGTGGACAGTGAGTGGACAAAAACTCCAGCAGCACTGCTGAGAATGATCCACTTGCACCAGCGCAACACACACTAACACACCACCACCACGTCAGCGTTACTGCAGTGCTGAGAATGATCCACCACCCAAATAGTACCTGCTCTGTGAGGGTCCATGGGGGTCCTGACCACTGAAGAACAGGATAACAAAGTATCAGAGAAACAGATGGACTACAGTCTGTAACTGTAGAACTACAAAGTGCACCTATATAGTAAGTGGAGCTGATAAAATGGACAATGAGCGTAGAAACAAGGAGGTGGTCAGAATGTTATGCCTGATTGGTGTATTTCAAAAATATGAAAATACATGTCCATATTTTTTCCAATATGGGGTTCTGTGTAATGGAGAGATGATGAATTTCAGTTCTGGGAAGTCTGACTGGCAGCAGCAGTGTGTCATTTCATTAAAACAATATTTTGACACTGAGTGTCGTCTAGTGTGCGGTAGCATTAGGCATCATTTCTGCTGATTGTTAACCGTGGGACTCCGTCTTTCCACACTAATTAAAGCCTAAATAATCTGTCCACGTCAGTCTGGAGGGACCTCAGTTGAGTCGTGTTGCGTTTTACTGATTTTATGGATTTAAACTGAACCCTTAAAGTCCACAACCATGAGGGACCACCAGCAGGTTAATGAGCCTCTGCTAATATGGGCGCAATGCTGTCTACACAGCGGCAATGCAACTTCGGATCCCCCCCCGTTTCTCTCACCTGCGCCGTGCTTGACTCCACCGGCTGTGCTGTAGCTGAGCGGGTGGGTTTGGTTCCCGGAGGCCAGCACTTGACTCTTGATGAGTGGATGTGGGCACAGAGGAGTGTTGGAGTACCAGTCATCATTCACCGTACACACGGGACTGCCGTTCAGACCTGCACACATCATTACAACCACACACACACACACACACACACACGTTAGCGCTGCTTCTCCAGACCAGCTTCCACCTGGAGCTCTTTCATCTCCCCCACAGGAGGCCTACAGCACTGCAGAGTGGATCTATACACACCAGCCCAGCACGGCACACACAGCATGATCAAAAAAACCCACACAGCTCAGCCTAGGACTCCAACAGAAACATAGAAAATACATACTGAGCTTCTCCTTCACTCCACCTTTCCTCCATCAACACGTATACAATACAGCAGGGGCTCTCAAGCTGCTCCCCCTTAAGGACCAACTATTTATCACTCGAAAGCATGACAGCCTCCAGGGAATAATCATAATAATACATTATAATTTAAAAAATATGAATAATAATGACAATATTGGCCTAGCAACCAGTCCTAATTCACCTCTGCATCCGAATGTTTGGGAAATCGCTTCTGTCGGAACAAAACCTTGTATCTCCACTTTTGTCGTTTTTTAGATTTTGTCAGAATTTGAAAGTACCTGTTGCCCTTTACATAAGGTGTAAATTTCATGGTGAATAGATCAAAAGAAATTACCCAAAATTGCTTGGAAAAAATTCTGGTTCCATTGACTTACATTAAAAGTAAAGTAGGTTTTTTCCTTCTCCTGTAAAGTTACCATTTTGGAGACAAGGTTTTGTTCTGACAGCATCCATCCATCCATCATCTAAACCGCTTATCCTTCTGGGTCGCAGTGGGGTGCTGGAGCCTATCCCAGCCATCATTGGGCGGAAGGCAAGACACACCCCGGACAGGTCGCCAGTCCATCGCAGGGCAGACAGACAGACATATACAATCACACACACATTCACACCTAGGGGCAATCCAGCATTTCCAATCAGCCTCACTGCATGTCTTTGGACTGTGGGAGGAAACCCACGCAGACACGGTGAGAACATGCAAACTCCACACAGAAAGGACCCTGGTCGCCCGGCCGGGAATCGAACCCAGGCCCTTCTTGCTGTGAGTCGACAGCGCTACCCACTGCGCCACCGCGCCGCCCTGTTCTGACAGCAGTGAAATGAAAATAAAGTGAAGATATTTTTCTGTCCCTTCTTGATTGTAACTTTAGACTATAAAATAAGTGTTTATTAATGGGATACTGGATGAGGAGAGCACAGCACTCACCTGTTCCCCCCTGTTATTTAATCTTGTTCCAAAAATGTGAAAAAAGAATCTACATTGTTCCTGTTAGAGTGGATTGTAGGTGTGGGAGCTGCTTTAGTGGGAAATGTTCAGCACAGCGATAGACAGCATGTAACACTGAACATAAAATATCAGCAGATTAGGCTACGTAAGCTTATTTTAGACCAGCAATCAGGCAGAATGGTGGTAAGTTAAGTTGTTTCTGCAACCCATTTTGTACCATTTCACTCATGAGTAAAAATAGACAAAGCTGCTTCGTGCTCTGTTGTTGCAGGTCTTGTGTTTATATTGTTTACCACTGAGAACATTTCACGTTTCTTACTACATTACATTAAGTTGATCGTTTTTTCACTGATTTGTGTGAGACAAAGTGTCGTCTGCACCCACTACAGACCACTTGCTCCCCCTCAGTATAGCCGGAGGACCTGAAACCCTGCAATATACTTTGCGTGTGTGTATTGACCAGGTTTATGCTACTTTGTGGGGACCAAAACCTGATCACTCATGCTGTGGGGACATTTCTTCCTTGTGGGGACCAGCTTGTGGTAAATCAATACATTTTAAGGTGAGGGTGAGGTTAAGGTTAGGGTTAGGCTAGTAGTTCTGAGTAAGTTTTGGGTAAGTCTCCAGGCATTAAATGGAAGTCTGTGTAATGCCCCACAATTCACAGAAACAAGATGGTGTGTGTGCGAGATTGTGTGGTCCTCTTTGGACTGAGGACCTTCCTCTCGCCATAACTGGAACTGCTCTCTTTGTTTGTTCCATTCAAAACTGTTAAGTACAAGCAATTAATTAATATCACACAGAAATTAATACAGTTTTTCACTAAAAATTCTATTATCAGCATAACAATCTGGGTGAAGAGTAGAATCTTTGAAATTTTAACATGAATTTCGGAATTTCTTAGTAATTCTCCCTCTTTTGCTTTAATGACAGTGTGCACTCGAGCCGGCACGACTCTGATCACTAAAGTGGTGTCCCAATTCAGGGGCTGCGTCCTTTGGAGGCTGCGTTTGAAGGCCAATTGCGCCACAGCGGCACGACTAGGCTGTCCCATTTCGAAGGCTCCTTCATATGCGGCCGAGAAATCTGTCCTTTTCCATGGCAGTGAAAGATCCAACAGGTGCATCCTCCGCCAGCCAACATATCCTGAGGTTCATTGAGTGCTGGTGAGGATTCGACAACATGGCGGCGTCAGCAGAGGAGCGAACGGCGGCTGAGGAGACACTTTAAAATATATGTATCTGGTTTAAACTGAGTCAAATAGCGAACAATATAAATGATAAATAAAGCCAATGTGGTCTGAAGCTAAACTTACACTAATGTTTCATTATTGTTTTAGGGAGCAAAGAGCAGACAGAGAGGTTTCGTGGCGCAGCGGTGAGGGCAGGAACAGTGGTGCTGTGAAACAAACAGGAAATCCACCGTAGAGCAGACCATCTCATTTCAGGTTAAGCCTTCGTGGGTCGATGCAGCCTTCGAAGGACCTGCCTTCATAGACCGTGTCCTTTGAAGGATGCAGCCCCTGAATTGGGACACAGATTAACGGTGACAAAAGCCTCTGATCAGTAGATCAAATTGTCTGAACACGAGCTTCACTGGAAGAGACGAAAATCATATCTAACGTTAAGAAGTCAGAAATGTGCTTAAATTTGAATAGTGAGCTTTAAAAATAGTGCAGAATCCAGAATATTTCTTCATTTTAATTCTCATAACTTTTCTTTAAATTTTTCAAAATTCTAAAATGTTGTTGATTTCCCAGGATTAAAACACAACCCAAGATTTCCAAAGTGGTCGCAGACTTTTGGACACCAACTTTGTATGCTGTCAGTGTCCAAGAAACAAGTATCTACAAAACAGCAGCTTTACAGAAGAGAGCAAACCATTTAAGGGAAGTGAACGATAAGAGATTCTGTTCCAAGCAATTTTAGAACATTTCTATTGATCCATTCATCATAAAATTTTCATCATGAAACACAGCGTAAAGGGCAGCTAGTATGCTCCAAAGTGGAAATCAGGAAAAATGGAGATACAGTGCTGTGTAAAAGTATTTGACCCTCAACTGATGTCTTCTATTTTTGCTAATTCGTCACTTTAAATGTTTCAGTTCATCCAAATCATTTTAATATAAGATAAAGTCAACATGTTTAAACACAAAATGCAGCTTTTGTGGTAGATAAAATGATCACTGAATTTACTGAAGATAAAAAGTTATTTAAATCTATATCACCCCTGTGAAAAGTAATTGCCCGCCTAAACCTAATAACTGGTTGTGCCGCCCTCGGCAGTAACATCTGCAATCAAATGTTTGCAATAACTTGCGGTGAGTCTTTTACGTCACTGTGGAGGAATTCTGGCCCACTCTTCTCTTCAGACTTATTTTAATTCAGCTACATTGGAGGGTTTTCAAGCATGAACTGCCCGTTTAAGGTCTTGCCACAGCATCTCAATGGGATTCAGGTCCAGACTTCGACTCGGCCACTCCAAAACCTTAATTTTGTTTCTTTTGAGCCAATCAGAGATGGACTTGCTTGTGTGCTTAGGATCATTGTACTGCTGCATAACCCAACTGTGCTCGAGCTTTAGGTCACAAACTGACAGGCGGACATTCTCCTTCAGGACTTTCAGAGCAGAATTCATGGTTCTATCAATTTACACATCATAAAGTCATCCACATCCTGTAGAAGCAAAGCAGCTACCACCACCAATCACACAATCACACTACCACCATCATGTTTCACTGTAGGTATGATGTTCTTATGGTGGAATGCAGTGTTAGCTTTATGCCAGATGTAATGGGACCCATGTCTTCCAAAAAGTTCCACCTTTGACTCATCAGTCCCAAAAGTCTTGGCGGTCATCTAGATTAGCTTTTGTGTCCTTTTTGGTGAGCCATGGTTTGTGCCTTGCAGCTCTCCCATGGATGCCATTCCTGCCCAGTGTCATTCTTATTGTAGAATCATGCACACTGACCTTAACTGAGGCGAGTGAGGCCTGCAGTTCTTTAGATATTCGTCTGGTTCTTTTGTGACCTCCTGGATGAGTCCTCATTATGCTCTTGGTGAAATTTCCGTAGGTCAGCCACTACTGGGAAGGTTCACCACCGTTCCAAGTTTTCTCCATTTGTGGATAAAGGCTCTGACTGTGGTTCTCTGGAGTGCCAGAGCCTCAGCAATGGCCCTGTAACCCTTTCCTGTTGACTGCTATATTTCAGAGGCTTTATTTTGCATCTGTATTTTAATCTATTTAGAACGAGGCATCATGTGCTGCTTTTTGAGAGCTTCTAGCTGCTTCACACTGCCAGACAGATTCTATTTAAGTGATGTTTAGTATCAACGGGTCTGGCAGTGATCATGCCTGGGTGTGGCAGTGAAATTGAACCCAATGGTCAACTGAATTTGTTTAACTGGTTAACTTAGTAGCTAAGAGGGCAATTATTTTTTCACATAGGGCCAGGCAGGGCTGAACAGCATTTTTCCTTCAATAAATGAAAGCATTATTTCAAAACTGCATTTTGTGTTTACTTGAGTCATCTTTAATATTAAAAGTAGTTTGATGCTCTGAAATATTCAAGTGTGACAAATATGTAAATATGTATATTTTTCGGAGGCTTCAGGGCTTAAAGAGATGCTTAAAATATCAGACACAGCTCCAAAAGTCAGTATGTACATTTACACAGTCGACCTAAGACTAGATAACACTTTTCCCTCATGATTTCTCTGATTTTTCTTTTTTTTATCCTGTTTCATAGTCGCTCTGCATCTGTAAAACAGCTCTTCACAAAACCAGCTTTCAACATTTGAGAAAAAAGTTTT